TAAAATATGATTTAAACATTGTTTCACTTTCTGTAAAGCATGCTAGCCAAATGTTTACTCCAAAGAGTAAAATACGGCATAAATAATAAAGTATGGCATAAACATTGTTTAGCATTTGTAGTTCATATTTATAAGCTATAATATACGCAAGTATAATACTTATAAGGCTTAGAAATTATTTATTCTTATAAACACTGAAGTCTGGAGGCTGTTATTTAGTTTTTAAACACTTCCGTATGATTCAAATCATAGTTAGTTTTGTAAACACAAAAGTACAAGTTAAATATTATTTACTTATGAAACATACAACTACCACAACTTGATGTTTATTTTTTGTAATCACTCAAACGTTATTTAGTTATTTTTGTAAACATTGAAATACGACGTAATCATTATTTCGGTGTCAACGTTTCTTTAAAATATCAATATTGATTTAGTTTCTCAGCAGGTGGTGAAAGTTTTTTGGTAGTTCTTTATCTTTATGACGTATAGTCACAACTGGTATCACATTTTGTATGGTACATGAGATTGTCTAGACTTAGAAAACCTCATAAGCTGAACAGTCCAAAATTCTGCTGTAAAGAAACTAAATTTAACGTTCATACTTTAGTGGTTAAAAACGACAGATCTCAGTCATTTAAACTTCCCTAAAAGGATAGAATTACACAGTCCACATTTTAGTTATAAATGAATCTAACAACACTAAAAAGCTAGAATTAGATAGTCCACATTTTAGTTATAAATGAATCTAACAACACTAAAAAGCTAGAATTAGACAGTCCACATTTTAGTTATAAATGAATCTAACAACACTAAAAAGCTAGAATTAGATAGTCCACATTTTAGTTATAAATGAATTTAACAACACTAAAAAGCTAGAATTACACAGTCCACATTTTAGTTATAAATGAATTAAACAATCATAAAAAGATAGAATTAGACAGTCCACATTTTAGTTATAAATGAATCTAACAACACTAAAAAGCTCGAATTAGACAGGTCCACATTTTAGTTATAAATGAATCTAACAACACTAAAAAGCTAGAATTAGACAGGTCCATATTTTAGTAATAAATGAATTAAGGAACTCTCTTTTATCCTCAAATGAAATAGAAAATAACTTCCACTTTTAAAGTTATTTACGCTGAAATAAAAGCGCCCAACTTTATCATCTTACTTCATAAAGAAAGTGTGGGCAGTCCATCTCTTTAGTTAATTTTTTTATTGAAGTTTAGCCCGTTCATCCCCTTATTTATTTACTTATTTGTCTTCATTACTGGAATATTGATTGTCCTATTCGTTTATACTTTTATTTTTATTTTGGAAATTTAGATAGTTAAGTATCTTATTATTTACGTTGTTAAATTATTGAAGTTTTGACAGCTCTTTAGTTTCTTTATAATGAAAGTGTGGACAACCCAAATCTTTATTCTTTAATATTCAAATGTGGATAGGCCACTTCTTTAGTTTTATTATTAAAATCATTGAAGAATGATAGTCAAACTATTCATTCTCTTTATATTTTTCAAAAACAGTGAACTCTGCTCTAATGTTTTTGACGAGGTGACTACTGTTGCACCAAACTTCGTGAATTTAATTACTACTTTACATAATCTGTCCTATAATTGAAAATTTTAAATTAACTATGTTGAAGATTAATTGCAAAATTAGCAATAAAAATTTAAAGTTATAGCAAAACACATAAAAAATATGTTCAGAATGTTGGCAGATAAGAAATGAAAATATCAGAAAGTGTAACTGGATAAAGAAGAAAAATCTTCAGGGTGTTAATGAACACAGAAGAAAAACTTTCAAAGTGTTAACGAGAAAAGAAGGAGAAAGTTACATATGAAGAGAAATAACTACAGTGTCCTCAGAGAGATACGTAGACTATAAAGTACTTGAATGAGCTCAGAAGGTTGGTATTTTGTAATGTTAATGTGTTTATCGACTGAATATAACCTAGTGGTTAGCGTGACGAAATATTGATCCATGGTCCATGATTCGCGTCCCTCGAAGGCAAAAAAAGAAACCGCAGTCCTTTCTTTGGGACCGTGTATGTGATATAAGAGCGACAGTCAAAACTCACTATTCTATTAAAGCAGCCCTAGGGTTGGCGGAAAGTGCTATTGACTAGTAGCCATCCCTCTAGTCTATCGCTTCAAAATTAGCGACGACGAATGAAGATAGACTTTGTGTATCAGCAACAAACAAACTATATTTGGTCACCATCAATGGTAGATATATACAAGTATTTTCAATGTTTCTCTAAACCAGCAGAGAAGCTGTGAAAGCAGCCTGTAACAGTACAGTTGGGTAATTATGCTCCAACCGAATTCCTTCTTCAGTTTTACTGTGAACGTTTTATAATATTAGTAAGATATAGCAACGTGTAGGTATGGTCATCATTGCTAGATATAACGTATAGCTAGATAATGATGCCACATAAGTTCGGAATTTTTTGTACCGCCACGACGGTAGAGTATCCTTCTTTCCAAACATTTATCAGTTTATAGTTTCATGTAAACAATGAAATATTAAAATATATCTCTTTTATTTGTTTGTTTTTATTGTGTATCTATAAATAAACTTGGCGCTAGGAGAGTTGTTTATTTATAAATATAGCATTGAAAGAGTTAAAGTATAGGCCTGTATATTATAGCTACAATTAGAGTTGTAAGTCAGTCGTGCCTAATACTTATAGCATTAATTATCCTGTAACTGTTGAAATGATATCCAAACCCTTGTATTTGTTCACTAACTTCTGTTTTCATTGTTTCAATTTACTGTCTAATCCTTAGACTTTGCTGTACATAATGAGAGATAAGTTTATGGAATATTTGTAACTATATGTTTCTAAAATATTATCGTCAAATATAACCTCAGTGGAATCTACTTGATGACTTAAGTGAAGTTTCTGAAAACACAATTATTGCCAACTTAGAGACTTTCAGTAACCGACAGTCATGCTTTAACTTTATTATTCAAATTCATATGAAAACAATTAGTCCTTCTTGAGTTACATATGACATGCATTCTTGCACTGATGACGCAGTTCATTGTGTTTTGACATGTTTTGAAAAAAGAGTAGGAGAGAATTATCTTGACAATATTTACTTTGCAATATATATATATATATATATCTCAATAAGAAGTTAGTTAATTTTGGTTCTTCTTAACCAAAAACTTCACAAGTAGATTTGGATTTTTAAATACTTACTGTTCTTCTAAGGCTCTAAGGCATAACAGTCAAAATACTACTGCAGCAGTATAGTGCTCACAGCCCCTAGTTTTGTTTTTCTCCATTATACGCTGTCAGAAGAAGATACTGCATATCAAACTAGGAGGAGCTGCATATGAGCTAAGACGCCATAATTTTCTATTTAACGATTTTAAGAACTCATTAGGCTTAGATATTACGAGTTTATATTAAGATCTGGAAGATTTGTACGATAACAGTACTCAATTTTTCATTTGTTTTTTCATTACAATCAAACTGTAATTAATCGTTGTTTCGAATATGTTTTCTTATTTACTAGTTTCTACGGATAAAACAATTTCAATTTTGTTTTGTCCTCAAGAGATAGTTCAAAAGTGGCTATCAGGATCGCTTGAAGCGTCTAGTAAATGGTTTACTGAAAACAGACCATGGCTGAGATTAATACAAAGACTGAAAAGCTAATCACTTGGAAGATAGCCAAGTGAAAGGCTATGTGCCAAGATTTGTATTAGTAATCAAGAAAGTTGCTTTAAATTCGTGTTTAAAACTATTGCGTAAAAAAAATTATTAGTGATACATTTGTAAATTGTTTTAGCCTTCTTGGGCACAGCACTTACGCATGCTCATTAGGTGGCACGTGTATTTGTGACAGTCTTTATAATTAGTGGAACTATTTATTTGGCTTCTAATGATTGCGTCTTCTAAGCATCAGCTATGATCTTAAAAAAAAAGAAGTCAGCTTGATTGATTGAAACGGTTTAAAACTAATTTATGAACAGACAAGCATGCAGCATTTATTTTATAACTTGCTGTAGAGTAAGCGTTTGATTGATGTTGTTTTTATATGGATTATGTAGAACACATTGAAACCATTCATAGTTCTTGTCAGATTCCACTAGAATTAACGCTTGTCGGTACGCTGCAGAATTTGAAATACGTGGTATATATTCTTCTAAATATTAAGATAGAATTTTGAAACAGTTTATGTTTGTTTTTGTTTTTTTACTAAATTTATTTAACGAAGCGTGAATGTATAAATCTTTCCCCATCTGAGTAGGCGACTTCGTTGTCATGACTACCAGGAAAGAAAAGAAGATGGATCATTAAACTTTCGATGAAAACGATGCATAAGTTTAATACTGGTTGAACATAAAAAAAACACATCAAAATTTCGGCCGTTGGTTGATAAGTAACGAAGAAAGATATTTCCCGGCCTCGGTAGCAATCAGGAATAGAGAAAACTAGCAGCTTTCAAAGGAAATATGAAGAATTGAACAAGTTTGCTGTATTGGTCGAAAAACGTGAAGGCCATTACTAACTTGACGGACGACAACCTGAGTAGGCGACTTCGTTGTCATGACTACCAGGAAAGAAAAGAAGATGGATCATTTTGTTCAGCTGCAGAAATACTGCGTCTTCTTCATTTGACGAACTAAGATTATAGCAATGATGCTAGCTTATTAGCGATATGTGAAGTAACTAATATTATTTCCTAAATATTGAGGCATGTATATATTTATATGCATCATAGTTGGGAAATATCTATTAACCCTCAAATTACCTACTCATTTATATACCCTTTACTAACCACTGGGGTCACACATTACACCATATTGAGTAATTTTATCTACGTGTAGAGAACTGCCCAGAGAAAGTGGGTGTAATTTTGAAATGGTTAAAAAACTTTCATTTAAATTTCTTGATGACTGTTTCTCAACTCATGAATCTATACGATGTAAGCTGAATGAAATGTACATCTAAAACAAAATGTTATCTCTAGGAGGAGACCAATGTCAGTGTTGAAAGAAAAAAGTGTGGAACGCTTTGTATTCAAGTTTCTGGTAAGTAAAGCTCTGATTCTCTTTCGAAATTGATAAGTAAGATTTTGACTTTCTTTAACCCTGGTAAGTAAAATTTTGACTCTGGTTAAGTAAAGCTTTGAGTTGTTTGGAATTGACAAGGAAAATATTTTTTCTTTTCAGTTATTTTACATTTTCATTCCGTTTTTAGAAGTTTGCTTAATTCATTCAATTCATTAGTGTATATGTATATATATATGAAGTTCCCTAATTGTAGCATACTAACTATATTATTCCTCATAGCTGTGTTGATAGCAATTTCTTTACTAATCGAACTTCATTCAGCAGATGTCAGAGGAAATGAATGGTATTGAGTTAACTATATTTCAAAGTTAAAATTAAACCAGATGGTATTGGGTAAGACATTACGTTACATTAATTATTCTTCCTTCAGCTGATATCGATGACGATTACATTGTCGATCTTCCCTACTCTGATAACAAGTTAAACTTCCACCGCCAAACATCGAGTTAAGTGTATTACGTGGTGGAAGGGTTTTCATCAGATATAGAGTAAAATGTGTGATGTATTTGAAGTTCCCCAACTGACTTCATGTATTTTACGACACTAACAAATATAGTTCCAACTTAAAATAAATTCCTTCCTTTTGTTCTACATTATTTTGTAGGAATAATGTAAGATCATTCTACACATATAATTCACATTATACATAAGTTAGATTTTTTTTCGACACTGATAAATTACCCATAGAAACACAATTTATTCGAGTTTTTCTCTTCCTCCGTGAACAAATTCATATCGTCTAGCCAAATGTCTCACATGAGCCGTTCTCCAATTATCATGTGTATTCACTTCTAAATGAAAACATAGTACACACTGGTAAAAATATGCATGTGGGGTGAAAAAAGTACACGGCTTGAGTTATTGGGAATTAAAGAACTAAAAATGTAGCAGATAGAGTATTTGATGATGTAGGGAATAGGGTACAATATTGATGATGTGTAGAGAGTGCGCTTACTTTAACGTTGACAAAGTAGTGAAGTGAGAGAGAACAGTGACTTAGGTGTTTGTGATATAATTGAGTACAATGACTAAAATGATGTTGATGTATGAAACGATATAGTGAATGAAGTGTTGATGGTGATGTGTAGAGAGTACGCTTACTTTAACGTTGACAATGTAGTGGAGAGAGAGAGAGAATAGTGACTTAGGTGTTTGTGATATAATTGAGTACAATGACTAAAATGATGTTGATGTATGATACGATATAGTGAATGAAGTGTTGATGGTGATGTGTAGAGAGTACGCTTACTTTAACGTTGACAAAGTAGTGGCTAAAGAGAGAGAACAGTGACTTAGGTGTTTGTGATGTAATGAAGTGAGTACTCTAAGTAGAGTGTTGTTTATAAAGGGAATGATACAGTGACTAAAGAGCTCACGTTTTATAGGAAAAATACTTGCTTTTCGAAGCAATGGCTACGTTTGACATAATAGTATCGAAGACCATATTTTCCAGGTTATCACCCATCTACTTCACCTGATCCTTGGCAATGTAGCGAAGCATCTAGGAGATCAGATATATTCATAGAACAGCTATTTCTGTGTTTCCCCTTCTTTTGTGCAGCTTTCCATAAATTAGTTTAATACCTTAGGTAAGATACTTTGAATCACACGCTTAAGCAAAGAAGCAACCAAAAAACATAAAATTCCATTGGAGCTGCGTCCAGGGATTGGACTGGTGTGTGATCGAATAAGATAGTTGTTATTCCAGTTTATTCAGCTATCCTTTCCATGAACGCAACTGTTTATTCCAAGGAATAGCTGGAAGCTTGTTTACTACATTGCTACCGATACCAGAATATATCCTAGTTTCATTGCAGTAACTTTCTGTGTAACCATAGTTTTCACTTTGCAGACTAGGGCATTGGTGTCACAGCTCATTGCTGTACTAAACGCTCTGCTGTACAAGTTGCTCCTGTGGAGAAGCTTGGGGGATGTTTTTTCTTTTCCTAATTGTTGTGACTTTTGATTATACATTGTTTAAAAATTTGTTGTATAAACACTTCTCTTTAGAAAGAGCAATCGCATATCCTTCTGACCACCAAACACGTTTGGGGGTCATTTTGCAAGGCCTACAAACGCGGTTTGACTTTATATGCAGTAGAGTTGTTTGTCTGTGACGTGACAGTAGTTCTAGAACCATCGATGTATTGGCAGGGCAACTGTTTCTGTTTAAATGGTGTTCTTCTTTACATTGAATGAATTGTGGATGAATATTGAACGTATGACTTTAAATGAAACGTAAGTAATGTAATATGAATAGTATAATGTTTGTAAAATAATAAGGAGTGAATTGACTCAAGTATCAATTATGTGGTAAAGAGAGCATAATAATTAAAGCTTTGATGATATAAGGGAAAGATGTGAATGATTGAAAAAGAGAGAAAAAAGCTTTAACTTCTGTAGTTTATGAAAAAAACGCAAAATATCTGTTGCATACTCATCAAATGACGGTCATTGGAAGTCTTCTAAAAATTACTACCCCTGTATATTTTGTGGCTTTTGTTCTTTGGTGAACCTGATAAAAATCAGCAACGAAGTTACGAGAACCCTCAGCTGATTACAGTTTGATATTAAGGAGAAAAGGTTGAAATAAAATGCATAAACCTAAAAAACAAGAGTTGAAAAATGTTAGATGAGATAAAGTCACGTCTATTTTAGGCTTCTCCGCGCGTCTTCCAATGTATGTTTTCATTGTTCTATCGTAAGAACATACAGTCTACACTTATAACTCTATTTATCCTACAGAGGGTTACTTAAACGATTTCAAAGTTCTCTATTTTTTAAAGAAACTTTAAAAAAAAACAAATGTGGTGTGTTAAAAACCTAAAATGACTATGATTTTTTCTATTTCCCATTAAACGTCTATTGAAAGAAAATGCACAATACTTTTGAGGGTTTATAACGCTAGAAATTGGGTTTCGATATCTCTGTGGACGGAGCACAAATAGCTCATTGTATAGCTTAGTACTTAATAATAACACACGCAATTCTCTTTTTATCCTAAAGTTCTTTTTTCTCTGGGCGTTTTTAAAAAATAAGATACTGCTGCACTGACAAACGTAAGCAGTCTTCCTGCCATATCTCTTGACTTTATTGAATATTGAACGATTTGTCTTCCTTTTCAGTATCTCACAGGAAGTGCATGATGAGCAGTGGATTGGAAGACAAACAAATCTTATTTATATACCTACAAATGACGCTGTTTCTTGGGCAAACATTACCCTCTGTCAAAGGTTCATTGGCCATTTCTTTCGTCGTACCAAGTTAAATAATTCACTAAAAAAATCCTATTCGAAACATAGAAAGGAGAACAAAAATAGATGGATTTTCATTTCCAAGTTTTTTATATAATGGCATTTACACATTCTGCAAACTCAAAATGGATAATTTATTTCAATTTTCTATTGAAAACTGAAACATGTTTCTTAGCTTATTGACATCAAGGTATGAAAATACATTTATTACGTCAGAAAAATTTAGTGAGCTATCATTTGCAACAATAATATTAGAAGGCAAGTCACTGTGATATTATCTATGTCCGGCAGCAATCACTGTAATGTTTTTTTGTTTTGTTTTTTGCCAATGTTCAGAAATGTCCTAATGAACATTTTTGAGATAATAAAATTACGTACCTGGCATAATATTATAATAAATCCAAATTCGTGTGATAATCAAGTTACTTATCTGCCATAATATCATAATAACTCATAAGCTGCGTAAATGCAAGTTACTCTATCTGGCATGATGTCACAATAAGTCATAAAATGTGTGAAAAATAAGTTTATTGGTATGATTATCATCTCATATTGAATCACCAACTCCATGATTAACAAGTCTATTAATATGATATAATCTCATATTGGATCACGGACTGTGTGACTAACAAGTCTATTAATATGATATAATCTCATATTGGATC